GATTCACAAATAAATGCCAGGCAAAGTTGTGGTTGTGACAGAAATATATATTTGTGAATATGTTTTTTATTTGCAAATCTCATTTTATTTATTTGTGAATTTAATTCATGTTTGTGAAACTTTAAGATTTATTTGTGGATCATAATCTATTTATTTGGAATTAAGCAACAATTCTATCTCCATACCACATACACATATACTCTCTCTCACACACACACACACACACACACACACACACACACACATATATATATATAATCTAATAATATATTACTTCTGTGCTGTTTTAATGATTTTTAGGGTGCCAAAGGTTCAGCATCACACTCAAAAGACGAAGCAAATGATTTGTCTTCACTAATTATGAGTCTAGCGTCATGTTGTGTGAGCTTTAGCAGTGAGTTACTAATGAAACTTATGGCTTTCTGTTGGTGTGTTTTTGGCAAGGTTATTTTAACAGAAGTACTATCACTATTGTAGCATATTGGTATTTTTTAGTCTAAGTGTACTTCAATATATTTGAACAGAAAATCACAAAGTGTTACAAAGCGTAAAGTGTACATCAATATTTAATAATAATAACGTCATGTTAATTTATTATTATGATTATCTTAAATCGTTACATTTGCTTGCGAAAGGGCTTTTTTTTTTTACACCTAACACAAATTACTTCTTGTAACGGCCACATCAAGGTCACTTGAGGTTTGATAAACATAATGCTCTCTTTAAATATGCTACCATGTTTAGCTTCTGATGAACGCAGACATCAATAATGAGTAGTTTAGATTGTTTCTGGTCAGGCATTAGGCTGCCCCGCAGTAACGCAGGTCCTTTCCCCACAGCGCAGGAAACTGAAAGTAAAAGTCTCCACGGATCCACTGCAAGTCATCTACAGTTACTTTGTAAATCCGACACAAGCCGTCTTAAAAATGTTCATCGCGTCGGGGGACGTCGCTCCCTCTTTTCAAGGCTTCACTCTGATAATGGTAAGTGAGTTAGTTGTCGGCCTCAGCATCGTGACAAGCGCATGCTGCAGTTCTCAAACACTGAGCCGCGTCTGATTGTTCAGCCTGCAGTCTCCGTCGGGAATGTGGGGCAGCTCGCCGTGGATCTCCTCATCGCAACACTGAATATGCCCCGAGTGGGGCACTTCCACACAGACTGCCTCACTGCCATGGCTGGGAACAGCCCCTACGCCGCATGTGCCCAGCTCAGCACCGGCGCGGAGGGTAACTGCTGCTTCACTGTAACTCTGAGATTAGCTGCTCTGGCAAGTAACTTCCAGTCGCTGATGCGGTGTGTGAATGTGTGTTTGTGCAGTGTACTCTCACAGGGACTTAAAGCTGGCTGTGCTGCAGATCAGGACACCCATCATTCAGGTCAGTGGTGGGCATTTATACAAGTCAACACTTGACAGAAGTATAACATTTACACGCTTAAAAATAAAGGTGCTTAAAAGGGTCCTCACAGCGAGGCCATAGAAGAGCCATTCAGTCAAAGGTTCTTTAAAGAACCATCTCGTTCTTACCTTAAAGGGGTAGTTCACCCAAAAATTAAAATGTGATGTTTATCTGCTGACCCCCGGGGCATCCAAGATGTAGCTGACTTTTTTTCTTCAGTAGAACACAAACGAAGATTTTTAACTCAAACCGTTGCAGTCTGTCAGTCATATAATGGAAGTGAATGGGAATCATGGCTTTGAGAGTCAAAAAAACATACACAAACAAAACCAAATTAAACCCTGCGGCTCGTGGCGATACATTGATGTGTAAAGACACGAAACGATCGGTCTGTGTGAGAAACTGAACAGTATTTATATCGTTTTTTACATCTGATTTACTGCAATGTCTGAACTGTCCTGAGCGCGTTCTCAACAGCCGGTGCGTGACGCGTCTTCTTCTTCTTGTTTTACGGCGGATCGCAGACTTATAAGTGCATTACCGCCACCTATCTCTCAAATGGACCATTGATTGACCATTAATTGAGATTGTAGATAGAGTGTCAATGGTCCATTTGAGAGATAGGTGTCGGTAATGCACTTATAAGTCTGCGATCCGCCGTAAAGCAAGAAGAAGACGCGTCACATGCTCAGGACAGTTCAGACATTGCAGTGCATCAGAGGTAAAAAACGATATAAATACTGTTCAGGTTCTCGCACGAGCCGCAGGGTTTAATTTGGTTTTGTTTGTTTTTTTGACTCTCAGAGCCGTGATTCCCTTTCACTTCCATTATATGACTGACAGACTGCAACGGTTTGAGTTAAAAATCTTCGTTTGTGTTCTACTGAAGAAACAAAGTCACCTACATCTTGGATGCCCCGGGGGTCAGCAGATAAACATCACATCACGGGGAAGTCGTGGCCTAATGGTTAGAGAGTCTGACTCGTAACCCAAAGGTTAGGGTTCGAGTCTCGTACCGGCAGGGATTGTAGGTGGGGGGAGTGAATGTACAGCGCTCTCTTCCACCTTCGAGTCACGACTGAGGTGCCCTTGAGCAAGGCACCGAACCCCCAACTGCTCCCCGGGCGCCGCAGCATAAATGGCTGCCCACTGCTCCGGGTGTGTGTTCACTTAGGATGGGATAAATGCAGAGCACTAATTTCAAGTATGGGTCACCATACTTGGCCACATGTCACGTCACTTTTTTTCCCCACTTCACGTCACTTTTCATTTTTGGGTGAACTATCCCTTTAAAAAAGATTCTTCTATGGCATCGTGAAGCACCTTTATATTTAAGAGTGTAGTGGTCGACCGAAATTGATTTATTTTTATCTTAGAGCAGTGTTTTCAATCCTTTAGATGCCATGAACCCCCAAATATGTTCATCCTCATGCATGGGACCCCCATCCTAAAATTTAAAAGGCAGCTATATATATTTTTTCATGTATAAAGACCCCGTTAATAATACTATGAAAAATGCATATAAGCATGTGTAAAATATTATTTGGAAATATTTAGTTTTTGGTGTTGTTTTTTTACTCACTATAGTACTTTACTGTTAGATGTGTTGTTTAAATCACATTTGTTAATTTAAATTTATTTGATCAAATTCTATTAATTATTTTAATCAATTTTAACCAATTATTTGTTTAAATGAAATTTACACATTATTTATGTGGCCCCTAGATTTATGTGGCCCCTAGGAGTCCCTGGTCCCCAGTTTGACAACCCCTGTCTCGGGTGGCTGATATAAAGGCGATTAACAGACAATTTCATTAAAAGATAGTAATTATCATGCTGCAATTAATTTTTTTTTACATAATATTTACTGAAATTAATTTTAATCTGATTTTGAAAATGAATCAATATGAAAAATACATGTACTTGATAAAAAAAATACATATACCATTTACTTAATTTGTTTAACATTTATTTCTAATAATTTATGTCGAATAATTTATTAGACAGAATGGCTTCAAATTCTATTAATTATTTTAATCAATTTTAACCAATTATTTGTTTAAATGAAATTTACACATTATTTATGTGGCCCCTAGATTTATGTGGCCCCTAGGAGTCCCTGGTCCCCAGTTTGACAACCCCTGTCTCGGGTGGCTGATATAAAGGCGATTAACAGACAATTTCATTAAAAGATAGTAATTATCATGCTGCAATTAATTTTTTTTTACATAATATTTACTGAAATTAATTTTAATCTGATTTTGAAAATGAATCAATATGAAAAATACATGTACTTGATAAAAAAAAATACATATACCATTTACTTAATTTGTTTAACATTTATTTCTAATAATTTATTTGTCGAATAATTTATTAGACAGAATGGCTAGACAAAAAATAAAAAGCTAATGCCAATTGAGAACCAGAGCTCCTGTGCATTCTCAGAAATTAAAAAAAATATAAAGTCCTGGTGCAGTCAAAATAAAAGCTGCTTCTGATGCTTATCGGTCTGCGATGATTATTAAAAAAAAATCCAAATGTCGGCCGTTATATCAGTTGCCCACTTAAACAGTTTCTTTATTTCAGTTGCACATGACTCTTTGCTATTTACTGCTCTTCTTAGACAAAGGTCAGATCATTCCGAAAGCTGATGGTTTCTTGGATCAAGAGCAGTGGGTTCCTCAGGAGTGTGCTGCTGTCCAGCAGTCACGCGTATCACAGAGACGACCAACAGCTTCATGGGTAATCAAACACTGAGGACAGAGAAGTTAGGACACTTATGTGAACTTGAAGAACTTCATATGTCCACTAAAAATCACCCAATGGTTTAAATTGACGACCAACAGCTTCATGGGTAATCAAACACTGAGGACAGAGAAGATAGAAGATGCATGTAAATTAATGCCATGTATTTATGCCACACATAAAATTGTGTAAATGCCAATCGGTAGCACATTTTTCAATCGATACATTTAATGTAAATATGTTTTAAAGCATAAAACTATTTACTAATCAAAATCAAAAAGGTTTGTGCCACTTTCGAACCTAAGTGGATGATTTGCACCGGTGGTTCCTCTGTTAGGACACTTATGTGAACTTGAAGAACTTCATATGTCCACTAAAAATCACCCAATGGTTTAAATATTTTAGTGTTACTAGCATGTTGGGGGTAATGCATTACAAGTAACACAAGTTACTTTTTTGAAGTAACTAGTAAAGTAACGCATTACTTTTACATTTACAACTAAATATCCGAGTTACTTTTTCAAATGAGTAATGCAGGTTACTTTGTTTTCCCATTTATTCACTGGCACCTCTCTTTTGGTGAAATCAGGAGTGAGGTGAAGAGGCACTTCCTTCAGCCTGAGGCTTAGTAATTTCACTTTAGGTGTAAAAAGGGCCTTTACAGTTGCCAAAAATAAAACTTTTTAAATTTTTTTTTTATAAAAAAACAAATCTACAAGCCCAGCCCAGGGGACAAAAAGTAATTTTTGTAGGGAGTAACGCAATATTCTAATGCATTACTTTTAAAAAGTAACTTTGCCCAACACGTTACTAGTATTCAAATGTTACTGTTTGCGCAGCACACCTCTGCGGTACCTGCTGACCCCGTCTCTGCAGAAGGAGGAGGCTCCGAGGGTGGAGGAGTTGGGCTGGAGGGAGATGGAGAGGATCAGTGCGTTTCCCGGGATCTCTGACTCAGAGCAGCGGCTCTACATTCCCGGAGGAGGAGTGACCAAAGCCCTTTACACAGACTGGTAAAAACCGGCATAAATCAAACAATTCTGTCAAATCTATAATTGTGAATCCGGCCAATGGAGGTTTTCTGTCTGGTCCAGCTGCACAGAGGACATCTCTATGGCAGTAATGCTGATCTTCTGCTCAGAAGGAGACAACATTCCTGACGCGTTTGCTCTCGTTAACCATCTCAACGACTGGCTCCATCTGCTGGAAAAACCTGTAAGTGTGAATAATGATTTGAAACTGCACTTTCAGAACTGGATGTCCAGAATGGCACATTACCGTAGAAGTATGTGGTCACAGAATTTTAGAAGTGAACGTTTTTCTGTCTAGACTGAACGTTGTTGTTGTTGTCGTTTTCTCTCAGACACAGGGTACGGTGCAGTGGCGGGTTCCTCCCTCGTGGAGGCTGCTGTTCGGCAGCGGTATCCCACCTCTTCTCTTTTGAAGCACGGCTTAAACCTCACGCTTGCATATGGATATGCCTGATGCAACTCTGCAGGTGTGACCGTTTTAAACATGAACCAGAGAAATCACTGATGGACTGATGGTTGAGCGGTCAAACTGCACAAAGCACTGAATACACATTTTGCTTGTAAATAAGTGAAATGGTACAGAAATAATAAGCTGTAGCATTATTTTTGCCAAATCGTGTGTCCCGTGTCATTTTTTCTTTATAATGCTAGTCATGCTGATAGTTCAGCTTTCATTTCTCTCCACCCAGCGGTGGATGGCTCTGGCTCCCTGCCATCTGAGTTTCCCAGCAGAGCAGCACTTCTTGTAATGTGACGCAGCTCTGAACCTGCTGGGACCAGTTGTGTGTGACGTTCTTGTGGGAAGAAAGTGAAAACATTTAAAGCCCCTTCTGCATAGTTTGGCCATTTTTTTTCCATTGTTGGTGCATCAAAAATTACCATGTTAGCAGTGTTAAGTCATGTCCCATCACGACTGTCTGAAATCTTGTGACACAAATGAAATATCAAGCGCTGAATCAAACAAAAACAACCAAGAAAAGTCCACATCATACACCACCTTTTGGGGTTAGTAAGATTTTAAGGGGTTTAAGCGTGTAGCTTGTTAGAATGGCAAAGGATCAGCAATCTCCACCTAAAACTGATCGGGGCATAGAGGAGAAACAATAATGTACAGTATGTGGAAAATAGTGTTTTTTTTTTTTTACTTTAAACCGCAGAAACACATTTCATTACACCAAATACACAAAATAATGTTCTTTTTAGCAGCATCATATGACCCCTTTAAAGTCTGTGAGAAATTTGATGCATTTTTCAAGGGCGCAAACAATTGTATATTGTGTGAATTTTCACACATACACACAATGGTTGCGTTCCCCTCCACTTTTAGACATGCACTAGCGAACTTCCCCAAGCACTTCCCCTCGGGGGAATCCCCACTGCCATTTTGAAGTGTGTTCCACTTCGTGAAGTGGACGAGGGAGTTTATATGGACAGACCCCCACCTCTCGATCTGGAACGAGGGAGTGAGTCTACTTCATATGCACACTTCAGGCTGCTCCATAGACCACAATGCAACACGATTATGACGTCATCGCAGATCCTCAAACAACTCTATAATATAGATTTTTTTTTTTTTAAACATTTACAATAGCCCAAGCATACCTATATACAGTACATATAGAATGTTGCATCAAACTAATTTGTAAAGGAAAAAAATGTTAATAAACCAACTCCATAGCGGATTCTAAGTGGTCAAGGGCGAAGCATGTTCCAGTTCAGCCCATTGCAAGGGTTCCGGCAGTAGTGGGCACTCCTGCAACTTTATCAATGACGTACATCTCAGTAAATGAGACGGAGGGAAGTTAGCGAGTGAAGGGCATAAAAACATGGACTGAAACGCAGCCCTAATCAATATAATTTGATAGTCCTCCTCATTCAAAACAACTTTGCCTCTAGTACCGCTTTCTATTCAATAAATAATCCTGAAAGAAATGTATTGTGGTTTCCACCAATTCCAGAAAAAAACTTTTCAACATTGATAATAATCAGAAATGTTTTTTGAGCAGCAAAGCAGCATATTAGAATGATTTCTGAAGGATCATGTGACATGATGCTGAATATTCATCTTCACATCGCAGGAATAAATTACATTTTACAATTTGTAAAACGTTTTTTTTTTTCAATCAAATAAATGTAGCCTTGGTGAGCAGAAGCGAATTTCAAAAACATTAAAAATATTTCCAACCCCAAATTTTTGAACGGTGGTACATTTCACTCCTAAACAATAAGTATTTTTTATGATAAAATCTATTCACAGTAGTATTTTACAAAATTTGTAGGTTATAGTAAAAAAAAAATTATAATAATCTGTGCATGTATTACAGTAAATGTGCTCAACTGTAATGAAAATAGCCAAAAAATGCTTAAAGCTCTCAAACATGGTCTTATTTTGTTGTGAATTATGAACTGGACATGTCTTATGAAATTGAAACGCAGCAAAGCAGCATATTAGAATGATTTCTGAAGGATCATGTGACATGATGCTGAATATTCATCTTCACATCGCAGGAATAAATTACATTTTACAATTTGTAAAACGTTTTTTTTTTTTCAATCAAATAAATGTAGCCTTGGTGAGCAGAAGCGAATTTCAAAAACATTAAAAATATTTCCAACCCCAAATTTTTGAACGGTGGTACATTTCACTCCTAAACAATAAGTATTTTTTATGATAAAATCTATTCACAGTAGTATTTTACAAAATTTGTAGGTTATAGTAAAAAAAAAAATTATAATAATCTGCATGTATTACAGTAAATGTGCTCAACTGTAATGAAAATAGCCAAAAAATGCTTAAAGCTCTCAAACATGGTCTTATTTTGTTGTGAATTATGAACTGGACATGTCTTATGAAATTGAAACTGTGTAATATGATACAGTATGACTAGTTTAGTCTGCAGTGACATTTAAATGAGCCATATTTTAGCCTAGTGTGTGACTGGAAGAAGTGAATGAAACAACGCATTGTTACAGAAACTAAATGATAGCAGTTTTATTCATGGATCCTACTCTTGGATAGAGAAAAGTAAGACTCTTCAACACTCAGACACTGCTGCTTTGTTCTGTGTGTCTCAACCAAATGCAATGTCTGTTCATCGTTTTGTACAATCAAATTTTTTTTTTTTTTTTTTTTTTTACATCTCATAAGGTACACTATGTACACAATGTGAGCACTCTTCAGCATAAGACGTCATCTAACAATCTCACAAACTGGATTTGAGCATAAAGCCCTGTAGATATGATAGGAAATTTCAAGTAATTTCATATAAAAAATAGAGCATTTCATTTTGCCTCTGAAAAAAAGTCGTCTAAAAATACAATGTGTGAACAGCGTTAGAAATGCATAGACCTACTTCAGATCCTGCTGCCTTTTCCAACTAAACAAAAAGCAAAATAAAAAAGACACAAAATAGGTCCAATGAAATTAAAACCAATCCAAACCATGGCGATGCGCTGTCCTCGTGATATTACCGAGTTTCATCCACAGATATGGTGCTGGTGTGTGCTCTTGTTCGGAGTGGAGAAACCTTCTCGAAGAGTTCATGCTGTAAACGACTTCTGAAAACACAGGGGTGGATGGGAGAGCATTATGGGATGAAGATCTCTTGCTGAGGTTGCCATGGAGTTAGGAGTCACTGGTTGTTCTCGCTCTGTCAATACAATCACAAATCACAGTCAAATATGTAATGTTTCAATCACAATGCTAAAGGGCTACTTCACCCAAAACACATTCACTTGCCCTCATTTGGTTCTAAACCTGCAGGACTGACACTCTTCTATGAACACGCAGCAGAATCGCTGACGTTCCCTAATAGGGACATGGGCTGCTGAGCTCCAAAACACAAGTGGGAACTGAAGCAATTCTTGCTGGGTACCTCATGAACAACTGTGTTAAACATAACAGACAATGAAGGCATTTTTTGAGGATTAGGCCTAGGAATGAGGCTGAATATCACCAACCCCCTCGTGATTAAAAAATGCACAATGCAATTCGATTCTCAGTGTATGTCACTTCAAAACTTCAAAGCCATGCTAAAATACATCTAGTCTGACTCATCAATAGAAATAGAAAATGCAGGTTTAATATCCCAGTATTAGAGGTAACTTTTGCATTCACATTTGCATGCATTCAACTTTAAACATGTTCATTGCTAATGCATCCTGTGCAAATACATTTCTCCTGCATCTGTGCTGCACGAGTGACAGAATGTTCATTTTTTGGGTGATCCCTTTAAGTGGCACATTCAATATTTGCACAGTTTTTCTTTTAAGCTCTGCCTCTGATTGACAGTCTATTAGGAATAATAGGTAGTTAATGTCCCACCATGCAGCAGGGACATTAACGACAGATACGGACCAAGCTCTTATGATTACTGTGGCAAAATGGCATTCATTATTGGTAGATTGTTCTCTACCCCTTATTCACCCCTTTGCCTTCAGTGGTTAAAAGTGGCGTGCCCTAATGCTAGTACTTCCTGTCACTGTTTACGTTCAGAGATGAAGACTGCTATCTAGCGGTCAGGGTATAAACTCAAAAACGAAAAAAAAAAAAACTGCCATGAATCTTGTATGACTTTTTTTTTTTTTTTTTTTTTAAATATCGATATTCCGTTTTTGAGAATCGATACAGTATCGCCAAACAAAATATTGCGATACTCACGTTTATCAATATTTTCTTACACCCCTAGATGAAAGTATTGGGATAAATGTTTATAGTCCGGATATAGACTCTGGTGTTGCGGCAGCCCCGATCAATGGGTCTTTGAAAGTAATGATACGCTGCAAATAATGATCGTATATGTTGCATTATGCCAGTAGGTGGCGAACATTGACTGTTAAATGTATTTGATGTCTGAATGATTAATTCAAGAGATTTAAAACTAAACAAGTCTTCATTTACTTATTTCTAATGATTATTATTATTTAAATTAATACATATTTTAAATGGACTCGTAACATTAATAAAACATTGTCATCAGAAACTCAAGTAAATTACATATTTTGTTTGGTTGTCTGTTTTGTTTTCAGAATCGTGGGAGAATCATAGCTTAAAAATACATAGGCTAATATATCTGACATCTAACTAAAACCATTAGTTAGGGCTGTGACGGTGGCAGATTTTTATCACTGCGGTGGTAATGGACCAAACGCGGTGTTGATATATATATATATATATATATATAATTAATATAAATTTTATAT